ACACACACACACACACACACATCACAGAGGCAAAACAGCTTGTTTAGAAGTTTAATTTAAATGACAAAGATTCATTTTAAATCAGCTAACAGGAAAGCTACATTTCCTGTACATGACAAAAATAGGAGAGTGACAAGTAAGCTGAGGAAAGCATTTTAAAAAATGGCTGTCCTTACTAGTATGGGGTGGGCATAGAATGAAACTATAGAGCAGCGGTTCCCTTAGAGGCAAAGCCTACATAAAGAGTAAATGGTTAATACTGTGAAGTGCTTTAGAATAATGACTGGCGCATGTCAAATACCATGTTTTTGCGTTATTTGGGAAAAAAAATCCAGATAACAGGTTATTAATGGAACTTGTAAGCAATTCTCATAATAGCATGTAAAATTATTTTAAAAGCACGTAAGCCTTTGGAAATGAACTGTTGTGTTTCCTTACGATCACATGACTTAAAGCTGGTGACTTTATGTGAGTATAAGTTTATTTCAATAGTATCAGCCTTCACATAATCCTTTCAAGTTGAATCAGTATTTAATGATCAGCTCTATACTAGAGAGCTGGCTACAGCCGAGGATCCCAAGAGAAGACAGTGTGGGAGATGGGCGTTCGAACATCATAAAATAATAAAGATAAAAATTAGAATTCAAATAATTATAAAACAATAACATGATGAAAATTAAACCCCACAGAGTAGCATTTGCATTTGGTGAGTTTGGGATAGGTAAGGAGAGAGACAAGTATACTGCTGTATAATGTCCGAGGACGCCAAACAATCCCCATCACCAGAAAGTGCCCCAAATTTGAAAGTTAGAAGGGCAACTTCTACCCTAGTTAAGAAAACAGTAAAAATACGCCTCAGCGCAACGCAATCAGAGTACAGGAGAGTCGGGTTCTCTGCCATCCTGTCCTAGCGTCCTTTAAGCGCCTTATCGCGTCTCCCGAGCGTCTTTAAATCCCGCTTCTCTGCAGCTCTGCTGAGACGGCTGGCTCGGAGCTCTCATCCCAACCTTGGCCGCGGAGCGCCCGGAAAGCAGCTGGTGCCCCCCGTCCCTCCCTGGGGCCCCGCCTGGCCCGGTGCCGCTCCCGCAGGCGCGGGCCCGCCTCCCCGCGCAGGCTCTGGCGCCCGAGGTTTCCGGTGAGCGGCAGCGGCCGGTTATGACGACTCCCTCCTCCTGAGCAGCGGCCGTCTCCTCCTCCTCCGTGGCCCTGACTCCCTCCGGCTCCAGGTGAGACTCTCCCCGGGATTTGCGCAGCCTTCACCGCGCCCTTCCCGCAGCAGCCCGGCTGCGCGCGCCTCCCTCGCCCGGGTGCGCGGTGAGCGCTTCTGCGCGTACCCCGCGCGGCTCCCCGGCGCGCTGCCGCCTCCCTCTCATCGCCTGCGGGCCGGCGCCGGCCCTCTCGGCCCCCGGGCGCTCGGCCTCTTCATGGCCCCCAAAGCGTGCAGGCTGCCCGGTTCCCGGCCCGCGCCGCGCTGACCGGGTTTCCCAGGCCCGGGCGGAGGCGCTCCCCCTGACCCCTCCAGGGGCAACCCCGACCAGAGGCGTAGGGGTGAGGGGCGCGACGTAGGGTGGTGGGCGGTCCCCGGAATCTCTACGCCCGCGGAGCAGCCCCGGGAGGTGTCCCGGGTGGAGAACCCCAGCGCGGCATCGTGGCCGCGGAAAGGCTCTCGCAGCGGACTCCGCAGCCCTGGTTCCCCAACTGAAGCTCTAGCGGGGAGCTGGCGGACCTTCACCTGGGCATCTCCAGCGGCCATACCCTTTCTCACCCCCGGCCGTGTACTCACCAGGAGGTGTCTGGCACAGTGGGGCGAGCAGTTTAGGAGTCATTGTGAGTCTCAGATGAGTTTAGCTTTTCATTTGTCCACTGCCTTCTTTAAACTTCCCCAAGCTCTGTCACGGAGCATTGCCCCCTGTCACCCACTGTGCTCCCTGTCAGCCTTGCGTTTCACCTCTCATCATCTTTAAAGCTTTTCCCTTTTCTCCTCCCCGCTTTTAGGCCTCCGGATATCCAGTCAAGGGATCCAGAAGTGGAGGGAGCCAGTTGCTTTGTGCTGAAGGAAAAAGTAGCTCAGTTGCTAAAGCTTCCGTCTGCCGGAGAAGTGCCACCCTTTCCTGGGAGGCTTTGCAACAGGATTCAACACAGAAGGGCTTTCTGCCAGGGCCCCAAGGGTGTGTTTTCATGCACCAGCAGACGCCCTCTGCTAGCTTATGCAAGTGGGTGCGTGTCCTCTGCAAAAGCCAGGTTTCTGATCTGAGTCTTTAGATTTTTCCCATGACCTCAGCGTTGCTCCTCCTCCATGGATCAGTGGATTTAGTTGTGATGGCTAGAGCTCAGTCCAGGACAGTGAACTTGGATAACCACAGGGCAGGACTGGGTCATAACAATGACTGTTACTGAGAAGGGTGAGTCAGGGAGCAAGACGTCTTGAGCCCTGCCTATTGAACCATAAGGCTCACGTAATGGTAAGGCTGAGGTAGCAGTGTGAGTCCCCGAAGTACTGCGGTGAGAACCCAGCAGGTCGTCTGCTCCTAGGAATGTTGTATCCACTTGTCCCAACTGATGCCTAGATAAAGTGGGCCATCTCCTTTCTGCCCACGGTTAGAATCTGGTCTGAGTTACTGTGTTGAGAGCCCTGTAACTTCGCTTTTAGCGTATGGCATTCATTGAGGCAAAGAAAGAGCACCACCAGCCAGGCCTTCTGGGTTAGCTCGCTAAATTATTTTCTCTCTTAATATTTCCTTAAATTCAAAATATCACCTGGGTGGTAGTTTACTTTAGCATCTTTTTAAGGTAATATATTTCATTTCTGACAGGTTTTCTATTCCGGAAACAGCACAACAGTTTCTGGGTCGTTCTGAGGATTAAAGAGAAATATTTTCATTATAAGTTACTGTGACTATTAACATGTATTTTTAAATTTTGTACAATTGCTATCTACTCACTGTTTGGTAAAAGTCCTAATAAAAAATTCAGCTCACCTTTACAACAGATAACAATATACTCTTTAGATTAAACAAACAGACAAACAAACAAACAAAACCACTATATTTACCATGCTAGAGGGAAAAGGATTTCTTCTTGGTCTCCCCACTGTTCAGTTATGATCTGTTGGCCTTGGAACTTGAGGTCTGATGGAACATAGCAGTGTAAAAGCCTCATCATTTTTGCTCATCATTAGTGAAGACTGCTTTTGAAAGCTGGGCTTTCCAGTATGTCCTAGTGACAGCAGACCTTACTGGGGAGCAGCTAATGTATAAGCTGGCTCTATCATCTTGTGGAAAGAGCAATTTTTTTTTTAAATAGAAAAAAGATACCACTAAAGTGAACCAAGAATGTCATGATCATTGTCTATGCTATATAGCAGAAATACAGTCAGGTCCATGACCATTGTCTCTTCACAATTCTAAAGCAGGACAGAGAGGGGTTAAGGGTCCAGCCTCTGAGGCAGACTGCCTGGATTTCATTCCTAGCGTTTTCCGAGTCTCAGCTATTACTATCATAGATTGTTATACACACCAGAATGTAAGTTTCACAAGGGCAAGGCGTTTAGTTCTGACTGAATGTTCATTGCTGCATCTTTGGTACTTCGAAGAGCACCTGGCACATAATATATACTCACAAATATTAGTTTTTATTCATCAGATGCACACTTGCACAGAACCACTGTACTTCCTTTTTCTCTGTCTCTCTGGCATGTTTCCCCTGCTCCTCATCATTCAGGTCTCAGCTCAAATGTTATTTAGCACCCCACACCCCATCCAACGTGGCTTTAAACATTCATTCAATAAACACTTACATAGCATTTAACATGCCAGAAACATCTAAACGCTTTACCAATATTTAACTCACAACAGCCCTATGAGGAAGGTCTATAATAATTGCCATTTTACAGGTGCAAAAGCTGAGGCACAGGAAGGTTAAGTAACTTGTTCAAGGTCATACAGCCTAGGAAGCTGTAGCTGGATTCAGACCTACTTGGTCTAGTTTTAAAGTCCATGTTCTTAACCATCATGCTATGTTGTCTATACTATTACCTTTATTTCAGGTATCAGCTAACTGGGTCATATCAAGGCCTTCCTCCCACTTTGGTAAATGAAATTTTATTCCAACACAGCTACCCCAACTCCTTTGGCAGAGGCTGTGGCTGCTTTCCTGACAAAGGAATTGTTGAGTCGTTGTCACAAAGACTACGCAGAGCCAAAAATATTTACTACCTGGCACTTTCCAGAAAAAGTTTGCCAGCGCCTGGTTTTTTTTGATTCACAGCCTTTGTCATCATCTGAAGTGGTGGTTTATTTGATTGTTTAGTTTATGCCTTTTGCACTGTTATAAGCTCCCTGAGAGCAGGGGTCTTCCTTGCTCTTATCACCCTTGAATACTTAGCTTTGAGGAAAAAAGTGAGAGAAGCTAAACGGTTGGTCTTCTAATGGCTGCGGGCCAGCTGACAAAGGACTTCTCACATTCCTCTTTTGCCTGTTGGGATTTTGGATCAATTTCCAGGTGGTTATTCCTGCAGATTATTTTATCCAGGCACCATCCAACTCCAGGAGCCCTGCTTGTTTACACATGGGCTCTGGGGACAGCTGCCCACAGCTACCCCACAGGAGGGACATTTCTTATGGGAAGCACTCTGCTGCCCCAGAGCTAGCCTCACTTCATCTCCTCCCTTTGCCTAAGCTCATGTAAATTCTTTCAGACTATCTCTTTCCCTTTCCCTCTACTCGATATATAGAAACACTTGCAAAGTTCTGGGACAGCGGACATGCTGCCTTTCCTACCTCGCCATGCTGCTGGTGGATTAAACTCCATGCCCCAAGACTGGTTTTCTTTTTGGCTTGCATTTTTGACTCGATAAAACCTTACTCATAAAAAGACTTTCAGCAGTGGAAGTTAAAAACTTTTACTGTAACAGCTCATAAAGTGCCTGGCGCATAACAGGTGCAAAGTAAATATTTGTTGAATAAAGGAACATTACTCGGTAATGTAGCAAAGTTTGTTGTAATTATGCTTAGCCCTTTGATTTTTGAAGGATATGTCTTAAACGTGTTTCCATTTGATCTCTAGGTTGGGAGGTTGCTATGTTAATATTGCTTATCTTGGGAGTATTGCTTCATGAGGTTCCACTGAGTAGCCAAGATGAGGCTTCTCCCAAGGCCAGCAGACCCCTGTTTGACTATGACAGCCTCCGCTTGCCAGAAGAGCACATCCCCTGCTTTCTGCACAACAATAGGCATATTGCCACCCTCTGTAAGAAAGACTCACATTGTCCTTATAAGGTAAGTATTCTCTTATTTATTTTTAAAAGTATGCAATTTAGGCTAGCTTTATAACTTGAGCTAGCAGGTAGAATTCTATTTTTTGGTTATAAGTTTGAGCCAATCATTGTATTTCATCTAATGCTTCTAGGTGACTAAACTTTGTTTAAAATTATGTCCCACTCACAGGTAAAATAAAATCTAAATCACTAGTAAAATTGGCAGCCAATACTATTTATATACTCTATAAATAAATCAAATTAGATTTTATGCAGAAAAGAATATCTAGTTAAAAGTAACTAAAGAATATCACATCTCTTTTTTCTTAAACTGCACCTAAGAGGGTCTCTTAGCACTTAATTTCAATAATAACACCTCTGCCTTTGTCTCTGCATAATTAAGGCTGTTACTGTGGCTTTCCTTCTGTTTTAGTTGTTGGAAAGGCTCAAATTGGAGCCCATTAAGACGTCTCATGAGGCCTAGAGATCAAAGCGAGCTGTGAGGCGCTTCCTTTCGCATGGTGCTTGCACAAGAAGCTGGTGGAGACCAGGCCTGGGAACCCAACCAGCATTGCTCCTGGGTCTTTCAGAGGGCTGTCTAAGCTCCCTGGCCAACAGTAGCTGCTGTGTCCCCCAGGGGCTGCGGAGCTCTCCGTGGCTGTGGGATCTCTGCTGATCTTGATTGATGAGTAAAGTTGCTGACCCATTTAATTTAGCTGTGATGCTCTTGGTGACAGAAATTCCATTTTATGTGACTCTTTGGGGACTGATTTTCTAATCAGTTTGCTCACTGAGAAAGGTAGTTTCATAAAGCTACTTCTAGAAATTCCAATTCAAGTGGTCTTTGGTCGTCTAGATAAAGCCTAGACTTTTGTTTAGGGGACAGACATGGTGGTGGGGGTGGGAGTGATTAAAGATAATTGTTATTAAGAATCTTAAGACCTCCATCACCGTATATTTGAGTCACCCCAATAAACCTTAATTAAAAGAAAAGAATCTTAAGACTACTGTTATTAGAATTTATACTAGTTATTTTTATTTTTTTATTTAAGATTTTATTGGGGAATTGGGGGAAGGGGAACAGACAAGTTGCTGTCCTTTAGTTCTTCAGTCTAGTTGTGGAGGACGTTGCTTCACTGGCCCATGTTGGTATTATCATTGCGCTCTTCCTGGGTGAGGCAGTCGCTTGCCGGCCATTGGACGGCAGCTCATGGCAGCTCACGCTGGCTGCCGGCTGCTCATGCCGGCTGTCAGCCACTCATGGTAGCTGAAGGCAGTCCAGCTCCACAGGGGCTGCAGTCTACACCATCGCCAGCGACTCAAAGCAGTCCAGCTCCAGGTTGAGCTGTTGTTCACCATCTTGGCTGTAGAGGTCGCAGCGTCACTGACCCATGTGGGATTCAAACCGGGGCCCTGCTGCTCACAGCTGGCGTCCCAAGCCAACCCTTAACCAACGCGCCAGTCGGCCATCCCTATACTAGTTATTTTTATTACATGAATATGTATTGTGAAATATAAATGTGAAAGTTTTATAAAACTGTTTTCTTCATGGAAAAATCCTTAAATGTCAGAAAAAGGGCGACCAGTCTAAATATACATGTTTTATGTTCTAGAAACACTTAGAAAATCTAAAGTTCTGCTGGGGTTATGAGAAATCCTGCAAACCAGAGTTCAGGTTTGGTTACCCTGTCTGCACCTACGTTGACATGGGATGGTAAGTTTCCAGAGGGAATAACTCCTCCCCTTTAAGTCGTCTTTCTCTGTGAGTGTATGCTGATGTCCCAATTCCTAGCTAGGCTCTCTTGGTTTTAGATAGTAATTCCTTTAGATATTATTTGTTTACACAGTCATGGATTTAACTTGACTCCCCTCCTCTGCCATCCCCCTCCCTAGAAGAATACCTGTCATTTCCTCTCCCAGAGGGAGGACACAGTATATATAGATCACAGAAAGTATTTTCCCCCAACAGACACTTAGAAGGTAAGCTGATGGTTTCCTCTTGATTCTGGAGGGGAAAGTTAAGTATAATTAGTATTTCCAATACATGCAAAGTTAGTGGAGTAAGAAAAATACAGGAATTAACAGTTCATTCTGTTTAGTTTCAGATGACCCTAACTTCACACATTTCTGTTGGGTATTTTTATTACAAGGGACTAAGTCTGCAAATAACTTATTTTGGTAACTTCTTGTAGCAAGGGATAGTTTTAGGAAAATTATGATAGTTTACTTAAAAAAATTAATGATAAATTTCTAGCAATTTAACTTTGAGAAAGAAAATTCAAGGTTCAGAAAAGTTACAAGAAAAAAATATCACAGAATCTCTTTGTTTGCAAACAGGACGGATACCCTGGAATCAGCCCAGGACATATTCTGGAAACACGCGGACTTTGGCTATGTTGCAGAGCGGCTGGAGGAGCTGCACGTGCTCTGCCAGCCTAAGGAAGCGGTGGGTGGTCAGCCTCTTATTGAACGAGCATGTTCATTTTAAAATACTTGTAATGTTTAGATTGTAATGTAAAAACAAGGTAGAAGGCGCTGTGAAAGGACTCCCTCGCTCTCACATATTTATGGCTTAGGTTTTTATTTAACTTCCAAAAACAAGTTGTTCTGTGTCATCTGGAAGCCATCTCCTCATTTTCACACATACCGGGGGTGCCAAAAATTGGATACAAGTGGACACTTTGGCCATCATTGCTCAAGCAGTAGTTCGCCATAATCAGAAGTGCCTGGACGCTGATGGTAACCACTTTGAACACCTCTTGTAATTGCAGAAGTCAGGTGTGACTTGTATTCATTTTTTCTTATCAGTATATATTGAGTATTACAATTTTAATACAGTTTTCCTTTCTTAAAATGTGTATACATTTTTTTGACCCTCTGTATATCATATGGCCCATATCTGAGGCTGTTAAAACATCATTAGGTTTAGAATTTTCCCCACAGAATGTGCTAAAGAATTTACCAATAAACTGATAAAATTGCTTTTACAAATTTTTTACAAATTTCCTTGCCAATAGCTTGGGACAGATGATACACCCCACTACACTGCTCTGGGTTTGGTTAGGACTTTACTGTTTGCAAAAGCTGTTGTATGCGTTAGTTACTTCACTTCTCACAAGCCTGGCAGATAGGCAGGGCAGGTATTGCTGATGCCACTTGACCAGAGAGGAAGAAAAGGTCCTCAGAGAAGTTAAGCAGCCTTCTCCAAGACCACACAGCTGTGACATAGAATTATATATTGAGAATTGAAACGCAGACCTTTTTCTGTTTGCTGTCAGCCAGGCAACACTGCACTCATTTGGTGAGACAAACACATTGCCAAGAGGCAGTTTTGGGGTAGTCAGTAGAAGAGCAGAATTCAAATCCTGATTCTTGGACAGGGCACCCAACCTACCCGTGTTTCAGTTTCTTCTGCTTTTAAGCTGTGTCTGTTTCATAGCTTATGGGAAGGTTGAAATGAGATTCTGCATATAAACGTGCTCTGTGTGGGGCTTGGCTCCCAGTAAAGGGCTGTGTTAATTTTTAAAGGTCCAGGGAGTTCTGAGCACTTATGACTAAGGTCTATTATCTCCCAATGTTCTTGATCCCTGGCTGAGTCTGACACCTCAAGGGTCTCCATTATTTCTAGGCAGTCCAAAAGATTTAAAAAAAAATTCTTTTAAATGCACCCGCATTAAACAACTGAGTATATGCTCTGTAGCGCTTTTGGAGGATGTCACGTCATAGAACTTTAAGCGGTTCTATGGAACTTTAAGCGGTTCTAAGGAAGTGTGGCATTCCTGGCACTGAGTGGTGCCTCAAACAGACACTGAGTTCCGTGGTGAATCCTTTGGCTGGAGTCTAGCTGTTCATGTGGAAGGGGTGAGAGGAAAGCCACATCGCACCAGGCACACCTCCTCCAAGGCAGTGTGTAGCATGCTTGCCAGGTCAGGAGCTGCCTCGGTATGTTTTGTGCTATTAGCGTATGATGCCTCACCAACTGTGGATTCCAAAACCCTGTGCGGGCCAAGACTAAGGCCTGGTGTCATTGGAGGTTACGAGAGAAACAATGAAGTGGCATTTAAATCTATAAGTAAAATCCAGAGCAGATGAAAGCTTTTGAAACCATCTCTCTTTCGGCACAAACCAGGTTGGTAGAGATAGAAACGGGCTCTGGCCGTTGACTCTTAAACTTGTTTATTTCAGTGATTTAGAAAACGTTGCCCTCGTGTTGCTGTTGGGACAAGGACTACCACAAGTTTTGTGGTTTGCAGGGAGTACTTCTTATCAAAACGGACAAACTTCCCTTTCAGCCTTATGTTTTAATGCCTCATGTGTGCATTCTTCCTTGTTTCATTTGGCGGCGTGTCTTTGAAAAATGCTTTTTCACATAGCTGTTGGGTTAGTGGTGGTTCTGAGTGCTTTTTTTTTTTTGCTGTTTTTCAGAGGACTGAACCACACATACAGCTCTTGTCTTTAAAATTTGAGGTGATATAAGTAGAACATTGGGGGTTCTTCGTAGTCACCAAGTGTGAAAATTGTCAAACCTATGCTTGGCCAAAGTCTGCTTGGGAGGGGAAATTCCATAAACAGAAGCAGGCTTTGGGAAGCTCTCCTATTCGCATTGTGTGGTTTCAACCTGAAGGAGCACAGCTGTCAACATGTCTAGCAAGTCTGGGTGTGTCCTTGAAATGTTAACATTTGGATTTGGAGTTACTTTTTTCTTTTTTCTCACCTTATTTCAGAATGACTCAAGTCTGGTATGTTCCCGTTATCTTCAGTACTGCAGAGCAGCCAATTTCTATCTTGATTTAAGAAACATCAAGAGAAACCATGACAGGTATTAAGTGGTTGATGTTAAAATTTAATGGGAATTCTGAAATATTTTCAGGCCCAGGGATAGACCTCGGACTTGCTTCATCATAATATGGCGAGGAGGTTGGTGTGGGTGGGGGATTGAAGACACAGATTGCCACTGAGTTGATCATTGTGAAGCTGGATTATGGATCCGTCAGGTTCCTATACCATTCTGCTACTTTTGTATACATTTGAAATATTCTATTGTAAAGAGTTAAATTCTGATGAAAAACTAATTTTGGAAATTGATAAGCCATTTTGGAAATTAGTTACAACCCATATGCTTGAGTCATGAAAAAAATTTTCTAAACCCAATTTAATTTTTTGATACCCACTAGGTTTAAGGAAGATTTTTTCCAGACTGGTGAAATTGGAGGACACTGTAAACTTGACGTTCGTACATTGATGTCTGAAGGTCAGCGTAAGAGCCCGCTGCAGTCTTGGTGAGAATTTTTTTTTTTTAAATGTGTTTTTAAAATATTTGTTTTTATTTCTGGCACTTGTTGATTTAGGTAGGGACTTTCAGATGAAAAGTGTTACTTCATTTGGCATGAGCTTTTGGGGAGTGATGGCTACAGAGTGATTCTGTCAGTTGTATCAGAATCAAATATAGGTTTATAAAATATTAGGAAGTATGATACAATACTTACTGTTTTCTAATGAAATAAAAAAAATCAATTCAAAAATGAATTTTTATTAACTTCTCTTAATTGCTGTACGTGTTTTGGGGAATACATTTTTAAAGAAATGCACATTTTTGAAGTATATAACAAGCACATAGAGAAGCGTATAGTTTGTATTATGAAAGAGGGAACCTACCTGCGTAATTCTTACCCAGGTCAAAAATAGGCCATCATCAGCACCCCAGACTCTCTCTCAGTCACAACCCCCATGCTTCTCCCCAAAGGAAAATCTATCCCGGCTTTCAGCACCGTTGATCAACTTTTTGAACTTTATGTAAATTGGGGAATACGTTTTGATTTAAAACATTTTAAATATTAAAGTAGTTCTATGGTCTGTCAAGAAATTTACCATCTCTAGAAATTAAGGAATTAGGGCAATTTAAAAAACTTTTTATTTTAAAATAATTTTAGACTCATAGAAGTTTAAAAATAGTACAAGGACTTCCCTTTATACCCTTACCCCAGCTCCCTCTAATGATGACATCTTATGTAACCATAGCACAATGAAAAAAAACAGCAAATTGACATTGGTACAATATTGGTAAGTAAACACATTTGGATTTCATCCCTGCTTATGTACTCTCATCTACTGGGGGGATGTATAGTCCTGTGAAACTTATATCACATGGCTAGGTGCTTGTAACCACTACCACAATCAGGACTGAACTGTTATATCATCCCAAAGAAACTCATGCTACCCCTTTATAGTGTAAGGTTCTGAGCACCCAATTCTAATATGTGTGTGTGCGCGGTTCTTTTACATAAACCAAGCAATTCTCTGAAACCACCTGGGTGTCCTACAATTCAACTCAGTTCTGATACTGTGTGCCTGGAGATAGCATCAGATTCCACAGGTTAAGGGCTGGTCCCACAAGATTGCCCCCTCCCCCACTTCAGACCCCAGTCATAAGCCCAGGTTGTCACTTGTGCTTCTGACCAATCAGCTATAGATTGGAGTTTCTAATGACCCCCTTCTTGGGTTTAGTTTGCTAGAGCAGCTTACAGAACTTTGAGAACTTACAGAACTTTTACTTGTTAGAAGACTGGTTTATTATAAAAGAATGTAGCTCAGGAACAGCCAGATACATAGGGCAAGACCTGGGGAAAGGGCTCCGAGCTTCCCCAAGTCTCTAAAGCGTTCTCCAACTGGGAAGCTCGTCTTTTAGGTTTTTGTTTTTTTTTTTATTGTTAGTTTCAGGTGTACAGAACAATGCAATAGTTACCCTTTTCACCCTCACACAGTAACAACCCGCCTCCCCCCATGCCTTTTAGTTTTTTTATGGAGGCTTCATTACATTGGCATTGTTAATTAAGTCACTGGTCACTGCTGACTGATTTGACCTTTAGCCTCTTTCCCCTCCCCATAGGTCAGGGCATGGGAGTGAAAGCTCCGAACCTCTGATCATGTGGTTGGCTCTTCTGGTGAGGATCCTCCTGAACGTTAAGAGTGATCCAAAAGTTACCTCATTAACACAACAAAAGACGCCTCTGTGGCTCTCATCACTTAGGAAATCCCAGGGGTTCTAGGAGCCCTGTGCCCGAAATGGACATGAAGAGCAAGTTTGTGTATGTTATAAATCGCAATACTACAAGTCACATAGGATACTCTTATATAATGTTCACTTTGGAGATCAAATATTCACGCTAAGTACATCCTTCAGGATAATAATCTACCATACATTTGTATGGCAGTTTATAGTCTACAGTGCAGTATCTTCCTTGATTTACAGTTTTGTAGTAGGAGTTCCTGTATTCTAGTGGGAATTTTGATTCCTAGTGCATTTTGATATCTGATTCTACATTACTATGTTCCTTAGGGTATGTTTGTATTAGTCATTTACTGCTGTGTAACAAATTACCGTATTTCCCCATGTATAGGATGCACCCTTTTTCAAAAAATTTGGGGTCTAAAAACTGGGTGCGTCTTATACAGTGGTTGTAGATTTTTTTTTACTTGCATTTCCTACGTTTTTCACACTTGTTTTTGCGTTCATAAAACCACTGTATAAGACGCACCCAGTTTTTAGGCCCCACATTTTTTGAAAAAGGGTGCGTCTTATACATAGGGAAATACAGTACTTCAAAATATACCCTACAGTATATGTGTATTCATTATGTGTATTCATTATCTATTGCTGTGTGAGAAATTACTCCAAAATTTAGCAGCTTAACACAACAAACATTTATTATCTCACAAAGTTCCTGATGGTCAAGATTTGGAGGCAGCTGAGCTGTGTGGTTCTGGCTCAGGGTCTCTCACAGGGTCACAGGTCAGTTGTTGACAAGGGCTGTAGCCATCTCTTGCTTCAACTGGGCCCGGAGAATCTGCTTCTAAGCTCACTCATTTGTAAGTGTTGACCTCAAATAAATGGCTTGATGTTTCTCCAGCAAAATGGTTTTATTTGAAAATAACAAAGAATTGCAATTAAGGACATGCAGTCTAATGGTGAACCATTCCCAAGTCTAGAGGACAAAGGAGAGGAACATTCTTTTATAGAAGAAAGGGGGAGTTTAAGAGGCTGTTGTAAACAAAGAGTTTATTGGAGGAAACTGGGAGTGCAGAGTGTAGTGGCTTTTATTGGCTAATGTGGGTTGAGTGGGTTCATTGGTTGAGTTAGTTCCTAAGTGAGGAGAACATCCTCCATCTTACTGTTGGAGTAGTAGGTAGTAAAGCATCTTCCCATTGAAGAGGTATCTTCCTGTTTGGGGTAATAGACAAGGAGTAGTAGAGCATGAGAGTTTTCCCTACAGGCCCTCCCAACTCCAATTTAAATGAGGTGTCTGTTAATTAATCTTCACTTAAGTTTCAGTTTCTCTCTGGCTATTTTGCCCAGAGGCATTGCTTCTATGCCATGTGGGGCTCTCTCTAGACCTACTCACAGTATGGCTGCCAGCTTCCCTAAGAGCATATGGTCAGAGAGAGAGAGAGGGAGAGAGCATGCCCTAAGATGGAGGTCTTAGTCTTTGTACACCATAATTTCAGAAGTGACACACCATCACTTCTGCCATATTCTGTTTATTAGAAGTGTGTCCCTAAATCCAGCCCACACTCAAGGGGAGGGAATTAATCTCCACCTCTTGAAGGGAGAAGTATCAAAGAATATGTGGATATATTTTTGAAACCACAATATTTCAGCATTGTGAGTTTTTTAACAGGATCTATTTGATATTTGTTTTACATCAGATGTGGTTTCAAAGACGAATCATTACAAACGATCTTTAGGTTAATTCTAAATATCTCTTGTCACATACTTGTGATAGTCTTCTTTTATATGGAAGAAACCCGTGCCATGTGGCTTCCAAAGATGTTTTCTGAGAAAAAGACTTTGCTTTCTTCTGGGAAGCTTAGCTGTCAGATGTCTTTCTGAGATACTCGAGAATTCTTAGAACACCATCTTTCTCAGAATCCAAGAAGTCTATCACAAGAGATCCTCTAGGCCAGTGTCACTTCTGAGCCTGGTCAGACTAAGGGAAAGCTCTTTGAATCTTCCCACTTTACTGACAGATTATTTAGTCAACTCAATGTGCAAATTTCTCCTTTGTCTGGAAAGCACTGAAATTTACAATAATATTTGTTCCTTGTCTCAACATTAAAATCGATTTCAAGTTATGTAAGTGTTAGTAAGTTTGAAAAGTTCCACGTCTTCCTAAGAAATATTCTAGAAATACAGTCAGTCTAATGAACATATCATAAGTTACAACATTACAGTAGGAGGCCCAGGAGAATCACTTTGAAAGCATCTCCCAATTCATAATTCCAGGTTTGCTGAGCTCCAAAGCTATACTCAGCTCAACTTTAGACCTATAGAAGATGCTAAATGTGACATTGTTATTGACAAACCAACCTACTTCATGAAATTGGATGCAGGTGAGAAGTTAATCTGTCTGTTATTTATTAGTTGATGAGGCTTTGTTCCTTTTTTGATATATATATGTAGCTATTTCCTGTGATTTTTTTTGGGAAAACAGTAAGACATTGAACAATGGATTTGCTTTCTGCCTTTTTCTCTTAAGAAGTGAACTATTGGGTTGTCGGAAAAGTCATGACGCATGTTTGCGACAGACGGCATTAGTTCATTTTTGGAAGTACTAGAATCATTCGCATCTATGTTATTGCTATGTCATTTGACAGCTGACAGTTCTAGCTTCATTCTAAAAAAAAATTGAGCGATTTGGTTGAGTTTTG